GGGCGTCAACCACACCGACACCGAGGAGCTGTCGGCCGGCGAGGAGCACCTGCAGCGCTGCACGCAGCTCCTCCAGCCCCACCGCCTCTCCCCGGACTGCGTCTCCCTCTACATACAGGCCCAGGTGCGCTGGGGCCGCGAAGGCCCAAGGGGGGGCCTGGAGCGGGGCCGGGGAGGCGGGGGGCCTCGCTCTGTCCGCGGGCTGTATTTGTGCGCTGCCCTGACACGGTAAACCCTTGTCGAAAGCTGCCACTTGTTTGCTTTACAGCCTTGCCTGGTATCTCTTCATCTGTTAGTATCTTATTCCAGGTGAGAAAGTAACGGAAAGGAACGCTGTTAACGAAATTGGCTTTTACCGTATGAAGATTCACCAAAGGGCCTTTGCTCGACCCTCCGTCATGGCAACTGGTGTGTAGTTAGATACCGCCCTCTGGGCTCTAAATTAAACAGGGCAGCTATTTAGATGTCTGTGTCAGAACTGGCCACTCTAGTTAGGAAAGGCTTGGTAGGGCTTCCTTGTCAGACCCTGCAAGACTGTCAAGGAATTGCGTGTTCGTGGGGAAAGGGAGTAGTTAACAGTGAGTTGTCTTACATGGTTAAATTAACTGAGGTGTGTGGGATTCGTGACATCTGCTCACTCTCCTGGGTAAATGCTTCAAGTCTGTTACTCATTACAAGATCGGAGGTGTCCTGGGAGGCCAGGTACAGTAGGATAACATCTTCCCAGCACGTGTTGCTGGGGAATTGTTGCTTTTGTGGCTGGGGACCAGGGGTTCCACTGTGCTTCGGAACTGGTGCGTTGGAAGACAGTGCTTTTCTCTGTAGGGCAAGTGCTGTCCTTGGCGTGGGTTCTCCTGCTCTGGGGCCTTTCCTAAAGAGCAGGACAAAGTCTGTGCATCGCACGTGCAAAGTGCTGTGGTCCAGGAGAAGGTACGACTGTCACCGTTGGGTGTGCAGCTGAGAGCAGTGTTGATAAATGCGTGCCTTCAGCTTTCCATCCCAAGGGCTGTAAAAGACTTGAGGATTTAATAAACATTCTGATACAAAAGCAGTATTTGTGAACGTACTGGGTCCTGTAGAGTGTTTTGTCATGGTACCAACTTTGCTTTTGGAGGAAGGAGGATTCCTTTTTACCGCCGAGCCTGTTTCTGTAGCCAGACTTCTAATTCCAGAGCTTCTGCTTAAGGATGTGTATCACAAAATTTGGTCTGTTCTGGGCTCGGCCGGGGGCGAAGTATTTCTGTTCATAAACATCATGCTGTTTTTTAAAGAAGAAACAAATGGAATTGAAAGGGACACAGCAGTGGCACACAACTGCACGTTCTAGCACTTTTGAAGTTGTTTTTGTTTTTTCTTAGCCCTGTTGGATTTAGTAACACCGCTGCCTAGGAATTAGCACATCAGATGGGGACTGTCATTAATACCTTTATGTTGTTAACAAAATCAGAGGTACTTATTGTGAAAGGTGGGTTCACAGATGCAGTCGTGTTGCTGTGTGCATTGCTGTGATTGAAATTTGAAGGCAGTAATCTGTAGCTTTTGCATTTTAACGGTTCTTTTAATCTCTTTTCAGTGTTGTAAATACACAGGCATTTGTTCCCAGCATATCTTTCTCCCCTTCCATTTTTCTACGGTCTTGATGTCAAATTTCTAATACCTTGGCCCTTTTTATGATACTGTATTTGATACAAAAGCTGCACGGATCAGATGCAGAACATACTGTCTGGAAAGCGCTCGTTATTTGGACACACCAGTCCTAATTCAGCGCAAACACAGAAAGTTGTAGTTTGTTAGGTGACTTTTGTATGTGTTTGTCACCGTGTGAGAACCCTCCTCCTTAAGCAACTGGCGAAAAAATGAGCGGGCGCAAATTTTGCAGTCCGTTGTATGAGAATGCGTATGTAAGGATGATGGCTGATAAATTGTTTGGAGATGTGTGATGTAAATGGAATGTAGTGGCAAAATTATAATTTTGGTTTTCCTTTTACCTTTAGAACAATCTAGGTATCCTGTGGTCTGAAAGGGATGAAATTAAAACTGCCCAGACCTACTTGGAATCTGCAGAAGCCTTGTATAATCAATACATGAAAGAGGTACTGTGTTCAGCAAAACTGTGGCGGGTCTTTCTTTCACTTCCAGGTTTAGTAATCTTTGGGTTAAAAAAACCTCAAATGATGGAACTTGAGTTTCTGCACTTTGTAGCAGCTGCTGTGATACTCTGGAGAAGCGCTGTGATTTGTACTGCTCGCGTAGGAAGAGGCACGCTACAGCATCACTTGCTAATTTCAAAATGGAAAATAATTTTTCTTAAAACCAGTGAAAGCTCTGTGAATTGATAATCCCAAGTCGAAGCCAGGTAGAATTTGGCCTTTAAATAAGACTGTTCTTAATCTTATCTTGGAAAGGCTGTAAAATGTCAATCCATTGCTTTTGGTGGGAAAAGGAGACAAAACCAGTATGTGTGTGATTTGCTCTGACTGCGCACAGTATCCCGTAGAAGCAAGCAGTTCAGCTCCGTAGCCAGGAGGACAGCCTTATAAACAGCTAAACCCTCTGTGCATATTAAACAGCCTTCTGAGTTGTGGATTCTGCTGTGTGCCCACAAAGACTCCCTTGTGCTACTTTTAAGCTCTTTGCAAAGCTGTCCCTACACTGACTTGCCTCAGGACAGTTCCGGAGTGAACTAAAAACATTTGTGGCCCTAAAGTCCACAGTGTCTGTTTCTCAGGACAGCTATAAAGGTTGGGCAGAGCTAAGTTAATGAAATTGCAGTTTGGGTTCTACATGAACTTAGTTTATAGCAGGGATTGTTCTTGTGGAACCTGTGGACGGGGTTAGTCTTCATGGGTTGGTTACTGCCGCATTCCCACCTTTGCAGCCGTGCTGGTCTGCAGCGACAGGAGAGGTAGTGGATCTGGAAAAAAAGAGCCTGTTTGTGCTGAAAAGCTTGTCTGTTTATTTTCCGCCCTCTGGGTTGGTTGGTCTAACTGGAGGTAATACTTCTCTCTACGGACGCTCTCCCCAGTTTGTTCCCGATGTCCGGCTTTGCTGTTCATACCCAGCCAGGTGTAATACTGTTAACTTCCACCGCGCCGCTGAAAGATTTTGGCACTTGCTTCAGGGGCTGTGAAATTGAACTGGTACTGTCACATATGTCTGTGCTACCAAATACCTCATATTTTCATTGTGGGTCTTTATCAGAATGGTTAATTTTTGTTAGTAGTGGCTAGTGGATATTCCTCCTGGGGCTTTGCTGCCTGACGAGGGTATACACAAATGGCTGTCGATAAGCCAACGTCAGATCACTTGTATTTTGACATCAGAGCATTAATTTTTAGATACAGGAAGGAGACAAGGGTCTTGCTTACCGTATCATTTCAGTTGCTTTCCTTGTTGATGTCAGGTCATAGGCGTGCCAGAACACACTGCAGATCCCGTTGGAGGGTTTGGGAGCCTTTGTCTCTCTAAACAAAATAAGGTGGAGGGTTGTAAATTCACATCTCGGAAAATGAAGAGGTATAAACAGAAAACCCTAAAGATTAGAAGGTTACATAAAAATCTGCAGCTCTGGTAGGTTAAGCACTCTTATTTATTTGTCTGTGTCTGCTTCAGAGCCATTTGTTTATCTTTGAAGATGAATAAACCATTTCCATTAAAAGCAAACAAGCAAATCCTTTCAGGACTTTTTTTAATGAGAAGAAATACAGATGTGGGAATGTTTTCTTCCCTATAAAGCGCATGTATGCTCTACCTTTCCTGCCCGAGTCCATATTATCTTATGAAAAGTGTCTCTAGACTGCTTTTTGTTGCCTTACTTTCTCTTGGGATAAGAAATAAATGGGGTTAGGAAAGGACTAGGAAAGCTGCAACTCAGCTGGGCTCTGTTGCTGTCAGGCATGCTGAACATCCCTCAGGGTGCACTGTGTAGGGGAAAAAAGGCACCTTTTAGAAAGACACCTTCATTTGAAGCGTTTCAGAATTGGCATCTGAAGTTTTACGTAGTGACAAAGGAAGTCAGATAAACAGAGACTGAGTAAGGTGGCCATAAGCAGTGTGAGTCTGTGGGGCTTGCGGGTACGCTGACTCTGACCCTAGTGACCGTTGTTTTGAGGCAAGGTTGAACAGCCCACTGCTGAAAGGTGTATAGTTGTCGCTGTTCTGCATTCATCCCAGGAACTACTGTCACAGAACGCGCAAAAATAAGTTTCACATCGGCTGCTTCCGTGTGCATGGCGATATCTTACTTTCCCTTCTTGATCAAGGAACAAAACCTATTTTGTATGTGTCACCAGATCTATCTGTGCAGCTTCATCCTCCTCAGACCTTGTCTGCTGCCTCCTCGATGCGTTGAGTAGCCGGGGAATGAAGGGAGTCGTTTCACCCCGGCAGGAGCAGTTTTGCAGCAGGTCTGCTGAGCGCTCTGCGCGTCATGTTCTTTGCAGTACTTCCTGCAGGATGTTCTCTTGCCACGGACAGCGCAGCTGGGCAAACCAGTATTTCACACCTCAAGTCACGCTTAGCACAAAATCGATGCTTTAAAACACACTGCGTTATTGTACAAAATAAGGACACCCCGTTGTAGCTCTGTGGGGTCCAGGTTGAGTGTTTCTGGCACAGGTAGCGTGCATTACTTTGAAATATGTAAGGAGAAGTCTTCTGCAAGCTGAAAACCCCTGTCATTCCAGGTGGAATCGTGGCTGTCTTCCTCAGAGTCTCCTGAGTTTCATGGAATTCTTCCAGAGGTGTGACATTCCGATAGGTGTAGCTGTGTTGTGTGACATTTTGGGCTTGAAAAATGGTAAATCGCCTGCAGCCAGGAGAGGGAGCACTGTGCTACGAAGTGAGAGAAATGTCGTTTACTGAGCGTATCCTGTACTCTTGCAGGATGGAAATCCTCCCCTGGATCCCAGTGAACATTTCATGGCAGAGGAAGAAAAACTCACAGACCAAGAAAGATCCAAAAGGTGGGTGCCTAACAGCGTGCCTGGGTTGTTACTGCCTTTTTCATTTCTAAGGGTGTGTTTAGGGAGGGATAGGAAAGAAGCAATCTAAAGGGCCGGTTGTCGTTTTTTTCCAGATTTGAAAAAGCCTACACGCACACTCTGTATTACCTGGCACAAGTCTACCAGCACCTGGAGATGATCGAGAAGGCTGCGCAGTATTGCCACACTACTCTGAAACGGCAGCTTGAGTACTGCGGCTACTACCCGGTAGAGTGGGCGCTCAATGCTGCCACTTTGTCGCAGTACTATCTCTCTAAGGTAATACACCTCGTGCGTTTGTGCTGTCATGAGGTCGCCGCTGTCAGGTAAGACGAGCGTTTAAAGAGCTGTTTGAGAGAGGGCTCCGTGGCAAACTGAAAATGGGCCGCTCTGAGCTCCCGAGTTGTGTTTGGCCATGAAACGTCCGTTAGGCTCTTTTCTCAAGAGGACATGGTGGCTTTCTTGTGGTGGCAGTGGGAAAAATGAGCAGGGTGTAGGCAGAGAAAAAGCTCCACAGCTTATGAAGTATCAGCAGTGATGTGACTTGATGCTCCTAAGTAAAACTTCAGGGTTATAATCAATTAATTTGGAATTCTCCTGTAATTATGTTGTTCTCTTACAATAATGAGTTTAAACACGAAAACATCTGAGGGCCAAGGTATTGCACACCGCACGTTTCCTATAAATCACTGTCCTTTGTACCTTAGCATGTGCTAAGACTTGATTGAGCCGACGTGAACATTAAAGTGAATATGGAAGAAGGGGGCTGTTTGCTTCCACAGATCTGTGTTGACTGTAAATAATCCATTGTGCTAGGAAATACTTCAGTTTTATTTAGGAATTTCTATATTCTAGACTACTCGGACACTTTTCTGATGCTTAAGGCGTCGGCCGTGCCGAAGCCAGTTCATGCTGATCTCAGCCGTAACCCGTAACTTCCGCGTCTCTTCGATGCGTGGATAGCGCTAATCGCTAAACAACACGCCACCAAACAGCAGCGAAGGAATCTACATCTGACTCGTTGTGTTGACTTGTGTGTCCAGCTCGTTCCGACTAACGCCCCGTGATACGATCTTTACCACAAGGAAGCGATAGCAGCGCGGGTCGGAGCAGTGAAAACGTTCGCAGCGCGTGTGTCTGATATTAAAAGCAAGGCTTGCTGTTGTGGCTGTGGTAGAGAGAAAATACCAGGAGTATTTTCCAATAGTAGATGTGGAAAAATTGTGTCTTTTCTTCCAGTGCCCAGGGGAATATGCTCCAGAGCCTCTCAGTTCTGTCGGTTCCCTTGTGTTGAGGTGTCTGTACTGAGGCGAGGGGTTTAGCCGGGCTGAACCTTTGCTTGAGCTGCTTCTACCGGTGCTAATCGCTGCCGTTTCTGTTTCTCTCAGCAATGCTTTATGGAGTCCCGGCACTGTTTGGCAGCAGCCAGTGTCATCTTCAGCCAAGCTGGACAGGTGCCATCTGCTGAAGACAGTAAGTTCATATAATAGTTTTGAATCAAATGCCGTGACTTAGGCATCGTGGCTACATAGCGTTAGAAGTGAAGTCTAGCAGTATGGACAAAACTTACCCCGGCGTTCATTTTCTAAGAGCTTTTCCATTAACAATGAAATGGAATGTTCCTAAAGGTCTGCTACTACGGCTTAAGATTGGCTGTGAGTAAACCCTATGAGGAAGGATTCACGTGCTTCTTGCTGGTGTCTCAGAAGGTGCGCCAGAATAAAAGTGAAATTTAAACCCATTTCAGTAGTGGCAGTGTCTCGCTTCACCTTGTTTGTCCTTGTAGGTGTGCTTAAAATGCAGCTTACCTTTGCTTCTCCGTGATCGGAGGGCAGTGATTTAAGGAACCAAACCAGATGCCTCTTGGGAATACTTTTAAAAGAAGGAGGGAAACTGCAGCTCTTAAAAACCACAAATCCAGAAGTTACCTTTTCCCTCTCTTTTGTTCCTGAATGCTGCAGCCTCATTAGTGACTCTTTTTGGTGTTGTCGCTGCCCTCCTCACTGTTTTGGGTATTGATGCAAAGGAACAACTTTGTGGTTCAGCGCAGAGATCAGATCAAAAGAAACTTTTCCAGACCTGACCGCAATTTTAAGAGCCTGTGGTTGCACGACAGTGTCAGTACTCGACATAAGTTCTCTGGTTTAGGCTTAGTCTTTGCTTATCTGCAGCACAGCCTTTCATATTCTGTGTCCTGGGCAACGGAAAGCTTCCAATCAGTAGAGCTTTTGCTCCTGGAGAGTGGGCAAGTACCCAGGGTAGCCCCTGTGTGAGCTCACAACTGGCTTTGAACGGTGAATATAGTGGTTAACTTGTAATGGTTTGAGCCCTTTAGAACCCAAGATCTTTAATCCACTGATGTCATTTCCGGTTAAAAAATAACCTGAAGAGAGACAACTGAGTGTTACTTCATTGAAGTTCAGTGACAGCGCATTCACTTAATTGCTTTTCTCTTAGCTCAAAAGGTAGAACTCTATGCAGTTGCCTTTCTTACTATTTAAGTACGTTGAGGATGATGTTCAGAGAAACAGGGCCATCAGGAGTCAGGTTATCCCTTAGGCTGTTTGAAAACAGGATATTGGGAAATACTCAGTAGGTCTGAATGAGTGTTTATGGGTTTCCATAGCTGCCTGAGTGCACTGTTGTCAGAGTTCACAAATACGGTACTTAAGCCAAAAACCGAGGTCATGTTTTCGGTAGGTGTGGAGAAGCACACAGTGCGTTGTAGTCTCAAGGTCAGATGCATGACTGGAAGTGATAGAGAAGAGTCCTGTTTTCAATTGTACTTTGTAGATTTCTGGTGTGATTTTTTTGGTCAGGTCAACAAACTACTCCTGTCTTGACTTCCTCCCACACCAAACAGGAGTAGTGATACCTCTGTTTCCGTGGGGTAAGCGTTTATCCTGTTTTCCTGCCCACGGTACAGGGAGCTGGGCTGTGGACTTGAAGATCCTTACGCAGAAAGTTCTGACTTCCAGAATGACTGGTACGCTGGCCACTCGCCAGCACGTTGATTTTATCATGTTAATGAGAGTATAAACAAACACATATTTGGTAAAGATGCCTTTTTTTAGACTCTCAACAATTATTTCCTTAGTAAGAACAACTTGATTGGCTTTAGTGAAAGATAGTGAAAGCAGTGGATCTGCCGCTGAAGTTGGCTTTATATTTGGTGAGCAGGGATGTTGGTGTCCCCTCGTTGTTCCGCTAAGTCACTGCCTTCTGCCTAGAGGCTGGGGAATGAGTTCTCTTTGAAATCCATTGGGTTTCTGAAAACATTGTCCTGAGGCATTAGCAGTGCTGCTACTTGTAACCCTGGGGAGAAAAATACAGAAGCTGGAGAGCTAATGGATCTTAGGTTGGTACCAGGGACGTGAACCAAAGGCAGTTTCCCCTGCTTTTGTTCCCTGTTTTGGCAGCAAGTCTGGGGCCCACTGTAACAAAGACGCCCTAATTATCCTCAGAAACAATGACTCGGCAGGCAGCTGAATCGCAGAAGACAAATTCTCCCAATTTCTTTCTCTTTGTTAGAGAGAGACGTGAAAATCTGTTTCCAGTAAGACATCTCAAAGGTCTTTTTAAACATACGGTAGCATTTTTTTTTGTTGTTGTTTGAAGAACATGTGCATGACAAATCCATGTTAATCTGTATGGTTTTCTACCAGAATGACAGTTTGCACAATTATTATATAAACTGACATGGAGGGCATGTTTCTGTCTAAAAAAGAGGAAAAATTAATTAAATACCAGTAACAGGCGCTTTGCGTGGGACGTTTGAGGTTCTTGCTGGAGTGCTTGACTTTTCTCTATAGGTTTTTGTGGTTTTGTGTTTATGTCCGTTCAATAGGTGAAGCAGAGCAAGACCAACAGGACCTTCAGCAGAGAAAAGCCAAAATTGCAAGATGCTGGATTAAGTATTGCCTGAATCTCCTGCAAGGCGCTCGGAAATTACTTGAGGTAACCAAAAATCTCTTCTGTAGCTGTCGTAGTTTAAAAACAAAGCCTGTTTTGGTGTAACAGGAGTCAGTTCAGAGTTGGTAGCAGATGATAAACAATTACCTGGTGAATAAGACAACAGATACTTGCGATGCAGCAGGTATTTCATAGTGTGCTTTGACTTCAGTGCAGCCCTGGAAAATAAGCAGGCGTAGGGGAGCAGCTCCGTGGTGGGATCAGTGCACTGCCTATACAGCAGCTTCACAAATTTCCCTCCTCTCCCCTGCGTTTGCTTGTGGCTTGATTTGGCAGTTTGCTCCTTATTTGCCTGCTGGTAAGAACATCATCTTCACACACAACAGTTTGTGTGCTGGTGTTCTCCTTCATTCAGGCACTCGATTCATTCCAGCGTTCATTTCATTCACGTAATCGTTCCTTCGAATGCTTAAAACGCGTCATTTGCTGAAATGCTTGGCAGAAGCAGGCCCTTGGGCTTCGCATTTACTGTTCTGGCTGTGTTGTCACTCAGGGTAGGGAAGCTAAGTCAGCTTAGTGTTACGTTTTTACAGAACCGGGACTAAATGACACGCTATTTTGTGAGTGTGAGGTTTAATATGCACCGTGTCTTCTCTTCTGGCACGTTGCTGGTTTGTATTTCAAAGGTAACTCCGAAATAAATTGATTCAGAGTTTGTCGCTCTTGGTAAGCGACGTGCATATTTAATTAGTATGCTTTGTTGTTTCAGGATAACATAGGAGAGCTGGATCCAGACAGGCAGCTGGAACTTAAAGCCCAAAGGCAAAAAGAGGAGGATGAAAAAGAGAAGGGCAGGAAAAAAGCCGTCCTTTTTGGGACGAGTGATATCTGTGACTCTGTCTTAGCCATAGAAGAGAAAGTGAGCAGCGTATATCCTTTAGATTTTCAAGAAGCCAGAGAAGTCTTCCTCGTTGGCCAGAACTATGTTCAGGAAGCAAAAGAGTTCTTTCAGGTTGACGGTTACGTCACTGACCATATTGAGATTGTTCAGGATCACAGCGCATTGTTTAAGGTACTCGCTTTCTTTGAAGAAGACTACGAGAGGCGCTGCAAAATGCACAAGCGTAGAATAGACATGCTGGAGCCTATCTACGCAGACTTGAATCCCCAGTACTATCTCTTGATCAGTAGGCAGCTGCAGTTTGAGCTGGCTGACACCTATTACGAGATGATGGATTTGAAGGTGGCTATCGGGAACAGGCTAGAGGAGCTAGACACGCACACCATTAAAAAAATCAATTCTCTGGCGCAGTTAGCGATCAAATACTATGAACTCTTCTTGGATTCGTTGAGGAACCCAGATAAGGTGTTTCCTGAAAAGCTCGAGGAGGATGTTCTTCGCCCTGCAATGGTGGCTAAATTCCATATTGCGCGACTGTACGGTAAGCTTATTACTACGGATAGCAAAAAGCAACTGGAAAATATACAGACGTCGTTGGAATATTACACATTTCTGGTAGACTATTGTGAGAAGTACCCAGATGCTGCCCGTGCCGTCGAAACCGAACTGGAACTCAGCAGGGAGATGGTGGGTCTTCTCCCAACGAGAATGGAGAGGCTAAGAGCAAAGCTGTGCCCGTTCATATAAGCGCTCGCCTTGAAGGGGATGTGCGCTGCTGAAACGATATCCGTCAAAACCCGTGCTGTCGGACACCTGCCGTACCGCGGAGACCAAGCTGCCTGCAGCTCGGCGGTCCGCCCGGAGCCTGCTGTAGTTTAACTTAGCGAGAACCCCGGAGCTCTCCGGATCAGTAGCTCACCCCCGCTAACGGTATAGACCTGAAACGTAAAGTGAACGTCCAGCTCACGCCTTGCATTGTTTCTCCTCTGTGTAAATAGAGGCACTTCCTTCCTTATGTTTTTGCCCTTCGGCATGTGGTTCGGTGTCTCAGTGGAGTGCTGTATGAAAATCGTTTCTCTTAAGAGAATCTGCTACTCTGGGAACACTACAAACTTCTACTCTAAGAACCATGAGGCACGTTCTCCCAACTAGAATATATTTTATCTCCTCTAACCTTTGTCCCCAGGAAACTTCATCCCTGTGAAGGGAACTTTGTTAGTTTCAGTATTTATTTTGTATGTTGCTCAGTATTTTTTCCCCTGTTAATCAAAACCGAGTTGATAGAGGCTCAGTAAATGGACTAGCTTGGCTACTTTTCAGAGTCCTTAGAATTCAGTTTCCTTCTGTCTTACTAAGGTATGATATACTTTACAACTTTGGCCAAAATAAATGGTTGTGAAAAGTGTTTCCACGTGAGTGTCTTTGGTAAAAACACGTGAGCAATTGGAAATGCCAGAACCAATAGCAAGCAGCAAGCTTTCTTGTGGTGGGAGGAGATAGCTTGCTCTTAATACACCGTAGAGAATTCCCAGGGTAGAGGTGCTGTGCTCTGGTGCTCCAGCAAGTTGCCAAATACAGCTCAAAGGCCTGGGATGCCGTGGAAGGCTTCTTACCCTGCGTTGGTCAGGGAGCCCAGGCGCTCTCTGAGAGGAGCTGCGAGTGGGGACCTCTGAAATTCCTGCAGATCCCAGCGCTATTCCAAAGCTGCCTGCGTGCCGCTGATCACTGACTTCTCTGTCCTAGTGGGCATTAAGGACCTGGATGTGTTCCTCATCTTACACAGCCCCGTTATCTTCTTGTTCTAATTTAGCCACCTAATTACTCTTCACGGAAAACCAGGCTGCATTCCTGACCCCAAATGTGCGCAGAGGTTGTCTTTGTATTTCTGGCATCCGCAGGAGGGTTATGAACCGGGACCTTCTTCAGATGAAACGTAGGCTGAGCACATTGTCCAACGGTGTGTTATTAAGAGATCGTGGGCAGAGATGCCAGGGGATACGGGGGAAGTGAAGTGGTGATGGGTTGTGTGCACCAGCAGCCTTAGCGCTCTCAGGTTCGTGGGAAGATGTTTACAGCCAAAGGGGGTGTGGAAGGAGACCTCACAACCGGATTCTTCCAGAAAGCACAAAAAACAAGGGGGGGAAAAATGACGTTAGCGTGGAGGGGGTGAGGGAGAAGGATGTGCAGGCAAGGCAGCCGGTACACCTTAGACGGGTGGTAAAGGTGTCGAGCTTGCAGAATTCTCCGCAGAAGCCTCCTAACGGCAAACAGAGTCCCGGAAACGAGAGGCATCAAAGCTGAAAACCAGACCAGCTACCTGCACACACACGGAATGGGGGAGGGTCTGCACGTGCGTGTTGTTTGTTCTACTCCATAACCCTCTAGTCAGCCTTCAGGAGTTTCTTCTCTGCCGTCAGATCCCCAATTCAGTTCTTCCCGTGGCCTGAAGGTGGGGCAGCCTGTGGTTTCTCAGCGAATCCGTTCTCAGCAGGCTGTATGCTGCGTTATTTCTGTCTATGGGACCCCTGTCCCCTGAAGATGCCCCAGCACGGTTCAGCCTTGCAGCTGTTCCCAAACACGGCAGGAGGACGGGAACACGTATCGTATGAATGCGTACGGCCTTAGAGAATGCCCGTTCTTGACTCCTGGAGTAAATGTTGGAGTTTACTCCACCACCTGAGTATATTTTATCACTGGAGACTATTGTGGCAGATGCTCAGCACAGGTCCTCACACTGTAGTTCTTCTAAGGCATGGCTTTTCAAGGAAACCTGAATAATTCCTGTTTGTTCAGTGATTTGGGAGAACTGAATTTAAGTAAGCTTGTGTATTTAGCTTAAAAAAAGGGGGGGAGGGGGGGAAGGGGGAGCTTGTTGGATTAGGCAGCAAAGCTCCCTGCAGGAATGTTGAGTTTTAACTGTAAAGTATGTGTGAGGTCAGGCATTTGTTTCAAAGATTAATTAAAGATTAGATTCCCGTGAACTCCATTTAACCTGCTTTTTTATTCCTTTTTGTACAGCAAAAAAAAAAAATCTTACAGCTGAAACCTTCCTTCTGTTGTTCTGCTAGGTTTTTTTTTTTTTCCTCCTTACCCAGCATAAGCAGCGAGGTTTACAAGAAGCCCATGTTTGTCCAGAATTCGTATCGAGTGGGAGATCTCTTGAACGGGGGAGGCTCTAACCTCAGCGTGCTCCAAATAGCACACAGCACTCACGAGAAGTAAGTTGGCTTCATCAAAAACGCAGCTTTGTTTAAATTGAAATGCTCTTAATTCTCGTGCTGGATAGAGCCATGGTATGTGCTGTGAAATGGGTCAGTCGGGAAGACTGTGCTGTGCTTAAGTATTTCGGGAGAAGAAGGAACCAGTGCCTTGTTCTCTGCCTACGGGCCCGTCGAAGGAGGCTCAGCCTTTTTATTCCCTTGACCCCTCAAGGGAAGAACCAGAGGAGAGCGGCAGGAGGTGACAGCCGTGTCCTTCGCTCTTCTCCCCTGTTCTGCCAGCTGAAATACCGGGGGAGCGGGCAGAAGGGAGCCCTCACTTCCCATTCGCAGCAGGAAAGCGGGTCACCCGTGTTGCAAGGGGAGCAGCGGCGGTTGCGGCTTCCGTGTGGCAAAAGCCAAAAGGTCGCCGGGCTGGTTCGCTCCGTTCGCCTGCCGGCGGCTTCTCCGCTGGGAGTTCTGGTGCTGGCGAGGCCGACGCTTGCTCTCTTTATCTGAAAACAGAGCTGCCTCAGTCTATCAGTGCAGCGCTGGCACCGGGTGTGATTGCTGCTGCGCTTCCGCCTCCGGAAACACTGCAGCAGCCTGATTAAGCTCGACGTCAGGCAGACAAGGCTGACCTCGTACCGCGTGGCGTTGCGCGTTTCGGTTTTGTTTGGTGTTTTCCTGTCGCTCGGCACGGGGAGAGCGAAGATGAGCTTGACTCGTGCATTTCTTTGAAAAGACCGAGCTAGTCGGGGTTATCTAGATGTTTTCTGTGGAATTTTTCATTCCAGAATGCCCAGAAATAGTCCTGAGAAGGCAAACTTAGGCTGGCAGCTCACGAGGCCGGCCCTTCTGTAGGTTTGAAGTTACAGAACTAAAGACTGTTATGTTAAAATCAAGTGCGTAAATTTGCGGTGGGAAGCGTTTGTCAACTTTCTTTCCTCTTCAGTTGCAACACCTTTGGCTGCTGTAGAGCTCGCCGCAAATGACTAACGCAGGTTTTACGTTTGGTTTGAAAGCTGCTTTTTACGTCCTTCCCAGGAACTCCTTCCCAAGCGCCTGCTAGGACTTGTTGATTCCCCAGTTTGGCTGGTGGTTTCCAGCTCTCCCTTGTCATGGCTGGGCGCACAGGCAGCGGTTTCCTGACAAGGACTGTTTGCCTGGCTGCCTTTTTTTCCAAAACCATTGTTTGAATGCGTCTTTCCCGCTGAAATCCAGATGATGTGCCGGAGGGACCGTTGGGATACTAAACACAGCATGTTTTGCAAACGCCTTGCCTTCAGAGTGGAGGATGTCCGTGGTATCGGGCATTTGTTTAGAGAGAAGTGGCCGATAACCGGCGCCATAACGCCAAAGACCTCAATCGTTCCGGTGTTTTTAGCCACGTTTGAAACACTTAGCGCTTGAGTTTGGGGCGTTTGATATGCACAAAGTGCTTAAAGTCTTTTTTACGTGCTCATTGTCCTGTAAGAGAGACTTCCTGGCATCATGCCAGGATTTCACTAGTTGGGGTTTTTAATGCAATTTTCTGCTGAAACGGAGGGATTTGGTGAGTGACTGAGTGCAACGTCGCGATGGGCATGTGATGGGTGAGCTGATCTTAGTCACCGAGCGCCGTCAGAGGAGTACAAGCGTTTGCGTCAGAGGGCTACTCCGAGATCCACGGATGAAACACGAGGCAAAAAACCAAGGAATTGACAAGATTTCCTGCACGCTAACTGTCTGGGAGGGGAGCAAGAGCAAGCGGTTCCCAGGCAGGGTCCTAGAGCGCTCAGTGTCGGCCACGCATTTCCTCCTGCTGTCCTGGAGCCCCTCTCTGGGCAGCCAGTGGGTTCAGCAAACACTGGAGACGTTTCACGGCAGCCCACGAGAGGATGCAGTCAGGTGGGCCCAGAGCCTCCTTCTGCTAGAAAGCTGGAACTTCTCAAATAAAAGGAGGGGTAGTGACACCCTAGAAGGAATGTCTGGTTTGGACAAGGAGATGGAAATGGTGAGGCTGGATCTGATTGCCAGCACGTGGTTTGCAGGCTGCGGGAGAGGAGAGGGCCATGGAGAACAACGTAACCCCCTGCCAGCAAAGTTTGCGCTGAACGCCAAATCTTTACCAATGGTTTGTGAGCAGACACCTAGCCCCGATACTGTCACACGTCGCCATCCATCTTCCCCGTCCACATCTGGAACTTTGGGCAAATAGCTCTCAAATCCTTTTTCTTTTAACTTCTCCCTGTGCTTTGCCTTAGTGTTTTCTTACGGCACAGAGCTGCCAACGTTATGTAGGGCTCGTGGAAAGCTACGTTGCACCATGAAGGCACAAGGTATTGTGAGCGCGAGGGTCTGGTGAGTCTCACCTCCCTGGTCAGCCTGTCCTGGTCTCCCCACTGCCCTCTTTGCTGGAAGCGTTAGATGAGACGAATCTTGCCCGTGGCTTAGCTTTCCATGCTGGCTGACCCCCGTCTGAGTCCTCTTCTGTGCTAGAAGAGATGAAAAAACAGAGCTATTATAGAGCCTGTCTCTTTAAAGTGGGAAAAGGCAAAAAATGCCTTTTTTCCCCTAATTAATGCAAATTGCGTTTTCTGAAGGGATGCACTCATCTCGAAATCCCCTGCGCTGCC